TGATACCATCTGTGCTAGTGTACTTAAAGGAATTACCATTAACAATCAATGGTAAGTTAGATAGAAAGGCATTACCTGAGCCTGAGTTCAGTAGTGGGGATAATTATGTAGCTCCACGTAATGAAGTAGAAAAGCAAGTATGTGAGATTTGGGCCAATGTGCTAGGTTTGGCTGTAGATAAAGTTGGTATCCGTGATGATTTCTTTAGATTAGGTGGTAATAGTATTGTAGCAATAGGACTAGTGAGAAAATTAAATAAAGAGTTTGACCATAATATAAGTTTATCTTTGATATTTAAATACAGGACAATAGAAGAATTAGCTTGCTATTTGGAATATCACACAGAAAAGAATTTAAGGGGGCAAAAATATGAATTCTAATTTAACAGTTATCTTTATCTATGATTTACTTGCAAGTGGAATAAATATTTGGATTCAAGATAATGTCATACAATTATTTGTTCCCGATGGGTCCTATTTTACAGAGGAGCAAAAAAGCTATATCAAGTTACATAAAGAGGAAATACTAAATTGCCTACATAATAATAAGGTTTATTCAAAATCTTCCGGCTCACTTATATTAAAATACATAGCAAAAGAACAATTATTGTCCTTTGCTCAAGAGAGATTATGGTTTATTGAAAAGTATGAAGAAGGAACTAATGCTTATAACATACCAATGATATTTAAATTATCCAATGATATTAAATTAGATATATTAGAAAAAAGTGTAAGAAGTATAGTTACTAGACATGAAATATTAAGAACTTTGATTAAAGAGAATAGTGAAGGTAATGGTTATCAGGTTGTTATAAATGATCAAGAACATCCTTTAGAAATAATCAAAGTAAGTATAACAAATTACTCACAATTAGATCAAGAATTAGAGAAACAAATAAATCATGTATATGATCTCACTCAGGAATACCCAATCAGAGTATGTATATATTCATTAGAAGATAGTACCAAATTAAAAGTAGAATATTACTTGAGTATAGTAATACATCATATAGCTTTTGATGGATGGTCAATTGATATATTTTCAAGAGAATTACAAGAATATTATAATTACTATTCAGGTAAGTCACAAGGCTTAGTAATTAATCTTAATTTACCAGATTTAAGTATACAATATAAGGATTTTGCATTATGGCAGAGAAATTATTTAAGCGGAGACAGATTAGCTAAGCAATTGGAATATTGGAAAAACAAATTAGAGGATTATGAACCACTAAATCTCATTAGCGATAAACCAAGACCTAACCAAATAAGTTATCAAGGTTCAGATATTTATTTTGAATTAGATGAAGATACATCTGAAAGATTAAGAGAATTAGCAAAAGAATTAAAGGTAAGTTTATATAGTGTTCTGCTTAGTGGTTATTATCTAATGCTCAGAAGTTATAGTAACCAAGATGATATAGTAGTAGGTACACCAGTAGCTAATAGGCATTATAACCAGATAGAAAACTTGATTGGATTTTTTGTTAATTCATTAGCACTAAGAGTAAAGATAGAGTCAAAAGAGTTAATTAAAGAGTTTATACAAAAGGTAGGAGGTGAAGTAATCGCAGCTCAGTTACATCAAGATTTACCATTTGAGAAGTTAGTAGAAGAATTAAAAGTAGCTAAAGATACTAGTAGGCATCCTATATTCCAAATTATGTTCGCAGTACAAAGATTTGGTGCTGAATTATATAATAAAGCTGAAACTAATTTATTACAGGAATATATAACAGAAAGCAGCTTATATAATATAGCTAAATTTGATATTAGTACATTTATAGATGATAGTGAAATTGCTTTGAAAGGCGGCTTTAATTATGCAGTAAATTTATATACTGAAGCAACAATTAACAGATTTGTAGAAACTTATGTAGGAATATTAACACAATTAGCAGAGATTGCTTATGATAAACAAAGACAAAACACAATTAGAGTAATTGAGTTAAGTTATCTAAATTTAGAGCAATATCAACAAATTATCTATGATTGGAATGATACTGATATAAATTATCCAAATGATAAAACCATCCATCAATTATTTGAGGAGCAAGCAAAAAGAACTCCTGATAACGTAGCTATAATATATGGAGAGACTAAACTCACATATAGAGAATTAAATGAGATTTACCTATTGTTAAGTCTTTATCTAAACATATCTTGCTATTACATGTACCAACTGTAGCCTCAGTTGGTCCATATTCATCCCATATTGTTAAGTTAAAATTTTCGTCGCTATATAGATCACGTAACTTATTTATAATATTAAGACTTAATTTCTCTCCACCTAATATAATCTTATTTATTTTAGTAGATGGTAAATAATCGATTAAAAGTTCAAAATAGCTAGGAACTAATTTGGCTACATTTACACTAGTTCTACTTAAATAACGTTTGTATGCTTCTAAATCTTGTAATTCATCTTTATAAATTACAATCTGTGATCCAGCACATAAAGCACAAATTGTAGTTGTTACAGTTAAGTCAAATCCAGCATTTGTTGAAAAATCTACTTTGTCTCCAGGTAATATTAAATTATATGACTTAATATTGGAAATATAATTTATTACACTCTTATGCTCAATCATTACTCCTTTAGGATTACCAGTTGTTCCTGAAGTATAAATTACATATACTGATATAAATTATCCAAATGATAAAACCATCCATCAATTATTTGAGGAGCAAGCAAAAAGAACTCCTGATAACGTAGCTATAATATATGGAGAGACTAAACTCACATATAGAGAATTAAATGAGAGAGCTAATCAATTAGCAAATTATTTAAAACATGATATTAAACCAGATACATTAGTAGCACTATGTTTAGATAGAAGTGAATATATGCTAATTGCTATTCTTGCTGTATTAAAAGTTGGTGGAGCTTATGTACCAATAGATCCTAATTATCCCGATGATAGAGTGAAATATATATTAGCAGATACTAGTACTAAGCTGATATTAACTAATGAAATACATAAACCAAGATTAGAAGAAATCAGTAAGCAACAAAAAGTACTAGCAGTAGATTCTAGGAAGTTGCAAAAACAATTATTACTACAATCAATAAACAGTCCAAATATAGCAATAAGGAGTACAGATTTAGCCTATGTAATTTATACTTCAGGAACAACTGGTAACCCTAAAGGTATTATGATTGAGCATAGAGGAGTGGTAAACTTAAAATATGATATGACTAGTAAGTATCAGCTAAGAGATACTATAAAAAGAGATGAAGTCATTTTGTTATTTGCTAATTATGTATTTGATGCTTCGGTAGAACAAATAGTAATATCATTATTAAATGGTTATATATTGGTATTATCTCCAAATCAATTATGGTTAGATAATAATAAATTTTATTATTATCTAACTGTAAATAAAGTTACGCACATACATTCAACTCCCAAATTTTTAGAGCAGTATGACTTAAACAAAATTGAAAGTTTAAGAAGAATAGTTACTGGTGGTGAAGCTTTAACTGATAATTCTTATAGTAAAATTGTATCAAATAGTAGCTGTGAGATAATCAATTCGTATGGGCCTACAGAAGTTTCAATAACCTCTATAATTAATATTATTAGAAATAACAACATAGCAATTGGAAAACCGATTGCTAACATAAAATGTTACGTATTAGATAATAACTTAATGCCATTACCGATAGGAGGGATAGGAGAATTATATATAGGAGGAGTAGGACTCGCTAGAGGATATTTAAATAGACCAGACCTTACTGCAGAAAAATTTATTGCTAACCCATTTCAAACAGAAGAAGAGAAAATTTATAATAAGAATACCCGTCTATATAAAACAGGAGATTTAGTACGTTGGTTACCTGATGGCAATTTAGAATATATAGGACGTAATGATTTTCAAGTAAAGATCAGAGGATATCGAATAGAATTAGG